CCAGAAAACCTCTCGACTAGCTTCAAAACGCATTTTTCGGCAAAATCTCCAGGAGCGAATGGGTTAACTGGGTCATGCAATGAGGGTGACAGCAACACACCCTGGTAATGCAATGAGGGTGGCAGCAACACACCCTTAACTGGGTAATACAATGAGGGTGACAGCAACACACCCTGGTAATGCAATGAGGGTGGCAGCAACACACCCTTAACTGGGTAATACAATGAGGGTGACAGCAACACACACTGGTAATGCAATGAGGGTGGCAGCAACACACCCTTAACTGGGTAATGCAATGAGGGTGGCAGCAACACACCCTTAACTGGGTAATGCAATGAGGGTGACAGCAAGACACCCTGGTAATGCAATGAGGGTGGCAGCAACACACCCTTAACTGGGTAATACAATGAGGGTGACAGCAACACACCCTGGTAATAAAATGAGGGTGGCAGCAACCCACCCTAAACTGAGTAATACAATGAGGGTGGCAGCAACCCACCCTAAACTGAGTAATACAATGAGGGTGGCAGCAACACAACCTTAACTGGGTCATGCAATGAGGGTGGCAGCGACAACTAACTGAGTAAACTAAGGTGGGGTGGGGGTCCCTCCCAGCCTGCTATGCACTGGTAAGAGTGGCAGGTGTGCTCCCAATTACATCCCAAATAGTGCCTGGTGAACTAACTGACTTTGGAAAAGTAGGAGTGCAACGTCCTTGTAGAAGGTTCCAGGCCCCCTGACCTGAGGTTTTGTGGTAGCCAAGAGGCTTTGAACCTTCTAAAGAACAGAAGGCGGAGTTCTAATGTAAATAGTGAAGCAGTTGCTTGACCATTGTCTGAGTGTTTGGATCAGCCAAGGGGGTAGGCCAGCTTCAGCTGCTGAGGTGGTTGCACCGATTCTAAAACTGTGGGATGCATACAGTTTTATTGGGATACCAAGATGCTGGAGGAGGGTGCGAAGAATACTAGTAACTTTATGGCTCTGGTGAGGTGGCTGCCAGACTGGAAGAACTAAAGAGGGGATGCACTGCCGGTTGGATGCCAAGCAAGGTACTTTTGGAAGGTTGTGGACAACCCAGACTGAACGATGAGAGGCGGCAATCAATAAGAAACAGCCCTGACAATAAGGGTCAGTCTTGGATGACTTGAGATGCAACATGAGGCACCCATTAGAAATGAAGGAGATGTCAGTGGCGCAAAGATGCACTAGGGGATTTAATTGTGATACTGAAGGTGAGGAAGCAGTGGAAGGCTAATGTAAACGCCGACCACAACATCAGCTTATCAGATGGCCAGAAATCAGAGGCATGAGATAGGTCCTCCTTAATCTGTCGAAGAAGGGACATTGTTACAGGGAAGCGCTGACAAGATAAGAGCCCCATGGTGCACTTGATTCCAAGAAGGAGGAAATGAAGGAGCGGTGCTGATGAGAAGGGGTCTGGTAGGCTGTTTTTGGTGTGTATAAAAAGGAGGCCTGCCATGTATAACTTTATGGTCTTGTAGCTGACTTGGTCAGCCAAGAAGGCGAAGCGTAGTGTGATCTCAATGGCAAGGAAACTTTGCCATCCTCTGGAGCCACAGAAGTTAGAGTATCGCCAAATACCAGCCTGGTAGGAGTGGTGGGTTGAGTCCACAATCTCCTGAGATTGGAGGAAGGGTAGACGGTCTGCCAAATGGTCGAGGGGGACAGGGGTTGGGCCCGGGTCTGATGCTGATGCGAGATAGCGGGACCAGGAGATCTGCAAACAGGATAAAGAGTTAGCGACAGCATTATTAGTGCTGACAATGTGAGTGACAAGGACTGTAATTAAAAGTGGTTGGTGGCAGTACTAAAGAAAATGGAGCAGACAAGGTGCATGGTTAGGGGGTCTTGGGAAGAGCCTGATCAGGGTTTTCCCTCAATATTTTCCTTTCGGAGTCCCTCAGACTCCTTTAACCAAAGGTTGAGGGTCCCAGAGGGAACAGTGGGAGTCCTAAGGTTAGCACTGTTACAAATTCCAGGAAATCTCTGAAACATTTTCAGGTTTCTTCTAAAAACCAAAGCATCTCTGCAACTGTTCGCAGCCTGAAGTTCCATTACTGGAATAAAGTTATCAGCGGCAACGTCGTTCTTAGTCATAAGATACACTGTTTTAAGCTGAACAATCTGCCTCCATGTAATTTCCAGGGTTTGATTGTCGATGTTCTTCTTTGCATTTGAAACTGTCGGTTGAAAGCTTTCTCTAAGCTTGAGGTCACTGATACTCAAAATGTGATCTTTAGATTTTTGGTGCATTTCCAGGGTCGACTTATGAAGATTGTTACAGCCTGTAGTTGTGAAAGGGTTTCTCTTACCTGTTGACTTACAGATATGGCAACCATGTAAATTCTTTCAACCAAGCAGGCAGAAAATGCCTCTTATATTTAATGAACTCACTAGGCTGGAATTCCGAATCCGCCACGTTTTTTCAATCTACTTTCTGTCCCAGAATGCCTCACAATGAGACATCAGTTCCCAAGCCTCTGCAAGGAGTTTCAATCGGAACATCAGAAAAGCAAGCTCGATAACCATTCAAAGTGAGTATGGCTCTTTTTAGTTTTAAAAAAGGAATCAGACAAAAGAAGAAGATTCAAAAGTCTTTATATTTTATTCTCAAAAAAGATTTGTTGAAGATCTACGCAGTTCTAAACGAATTTTTAGTAAACTATCGCGCTAGAACATGTGCGTCCTGAGAGGACCGGTTCTCTTTCTCTTTCGTTCTCTTTTCTGCAGCTTGATTGCTGCAGTAGTGGAAGAGGAGCTTCTTTCTAGCTCACTGATCACCCTAGAGAAGACATGTAAGAGAGATGGGGTAAACTCTTTCCATTGGATCGGCCGATTCTGGAGTTCTGGAGGCCAGCAAACCAGTGGCCTGCACATCGGGTAAGAATGTTTCCATGCAGGTGGTGTCAATGAGGATACCTAAAAAACCATGCGGGTCGTGGGTCCTACAAGTTTATTGGGGACCAGGGTATGCCCACCTGAGAGGCCATGTAAATAATGGTTTGAACGTTGTGAGCGCAGACCGAAGAGTTGGTAAATACCGGTAGTCATTGAGGTAATGCATGGGGTCCTGAATGTGAAAGTTGGTCTTCAGGAGCCAATGAAAGGCATCGGCTAAGCGATTGAAGAGGAAGGGGGAGGATCACAAACTAAAGGGGAGGTAGAGATCAATGTAAGAGTTGCCCTACCAGAGTCGAAAAGCATGTTTGATATCAAGTTTTGCCATGAGGGCATCCATTTCATGATGTGCGCCCAGGGAGATTGCTTGATCGAAGGTAGCGTAGTGCAGGGTGAAGCCTTCCTTGGAAATGTAGTCATTAATTGAAGAACCATGGGGAGAGGAGAGATCCATAATAAGCCGCCAAGTGCCATCTTTGTTAGGCACTACCCCGAGAGGGGAACATTGGAGGTTGAAGATAGGTGGTGATGGAAAGGGCTCTGCGGTATGACTGTTGGACACCTCCTTAGCCAGGGCCGTAGACACGGCGTCAAAATGCTGATTAGGATAATGCTTGAGTTCCTTAGACAAGTTGGGAATGCGGATGGGTGTGGAGGGGGGCTTGACTGGGGAGGACAAGATTACAGCTGGGGTACTTTTGGCCACTGGGAGCCAGGGTGGTTTCCTCTGGAATCTGGTTTGTTGCAGATGTGCTTAAATATTATTGAGAGTCAGGGTGGCCACAGGTCCAACGGTCAAAGTCATGACAGATGACTGCTTGTTGGGGGTGCTTGGGTTGTGATGGGAGGTTGGGGGCAGTGGAAGGGGAGCCAAAGGTGTCGGAGAAGGAAGTAGTGGAGGAAGCCCTCGAAGGATGAAAAGGCTGAGGAGGCTTTGATCTAGTTGGACAACCCAAGGTACGATGGCCATAGGCATGGCAATGGATGCAGTAGGGGAGGGTCTCTTCCTTTAAAATATCATTGTAGAGTTGTTCGTTAACTTTCTCCCATGCCACTGAAACATTGGAGGCAGCATTGTAGTGAAAGGCTGTATCATACACAAAGCAGGCTGATGCTTTAAATCTACTACTAAACTTGCAAATTTGGGCCTGATATGCGAGGAGGTCTGAGGCAAGGTGTGGGTAAAGGCCCGTAAGGCAATAAAACTGAGTGTAGGAAGACGTTCCAGGCTTCGAACCAGGAGGATTGACTGTCGATACGACGCTTCTTGTGCTAAGAAGGGACAAAAGCTAGGGTGGTGGCCTCTTGAGGGTCAAGATTGACGGTGAAGTTGTTCTGGGAGGACGCAAAGGAGGGATGTGGATACATGTTACCCGACCAAAGTTCGTTGAAATCAATGTACCCACATTTGGTTATCTTAGAACAGAGTTTCTCCGGTAGTGGTGGCAAGGTAGGGTCGTGATGGGGAACAGCAAATGCAGCTTGACTGACTTGGCATGAGCCCGGGGCAGACCGGGCACTGGCTGGAATTGCAAAGAGCTGCCATCTTGTATAGTATTTGGAGTAAGTTGCAGGTTCTATTGTGAGGCGTTGAATGCCGCACTGTTGGTAGAGCTTGCGGGGGAAAGGAGCTGTATGCTTGCTAACAAGCCCGGAGCTTCATTGGGGATAGAACATTTGGGACCAACGGCTTTGGCTATAAGTTCACGGAATTGGTCAAGTTGGCTAAGGGAGAAGTTTGTGCCTGAAGAAGGTCGCTGAACGTCCTGAGATACAGTGGATTAGAGGGAGGCATTGGCGGAGCTGGAGCATGAAGGTTGATGCGCTGAGGACCATGCTCGTTCACTCATTCATGTTCAAAAATCCTTTCTGCCAAGAGAGTCCTTGTTCCAGTGGTGACAAGATTCTGGGCTGAAGCCAAAAGAATCAAGGGATTCATTGGGAGGGCTTGAAATTCGAAGAGCGAAAAGTTTGTGGAATCCAGACTTGTAGGATGAGGCATACTCAAAAAGATAAACAACTGACGCGGGTAAGCTACATAATAAAAATACAGCATGAACATGTGAAGCCAAAAAACAAAGAAGCACTCAAGTGGTATGACAGCTATAGGCACAACTTAGTATCACTTACAGCTAGCAACAATAAAGCATAGTTATTAAGAAACTGTAAACCCAGGGTCAGTTCTTGTGAATATCTAAATAAACAGGCCACTCTTGCACAAGAAAAAAGTCACGTGCAATGTCCTTTATCACATGCTAAATATAATGTGGCTGTTGTAGCCAACAATACTGAGTATGCATGGTAGAATGAAGGCTGCAATAAGCTCTAATTAGTTAACTCTGTTTTACAAATAACGATCCTACTACCAAAAATGTCCTACTTAAGAAAAAAATGCCCCCTGTCTCAGCCAATCAGCTTTCAGCAATTTTGCCTCATATGTGATATTTAAAGCAAAACAATATGAAACTCAAACAAGTAATTTACTCTTAAACTGGTAGAGAGACTACCAGAGGCCACCTAGACATTAATGTACAATGTGTAATACCTTGTTAATAAAGCTTGGAGTAGTTTTTGCCAACCTGGGTTTCTTTAAAATGTCAACAATTCCTGAGCCTAAAGAAGAAACATCCGACTAAAACGAAATGACCTTAGTACATTACACATCTTTTAAAAAGTAACATACGGTAAATTTTATATTAAGCATGACACTTGCATTTTTAAAGAACTTGATTACTGTCTTGATATTGCTACAAAAAGATTTTTCACATGCGATGATCATTATAAAAGCCAAACCCACATCATCAGGAGTTTTAAGTAAACTGGGTATGCTTGTTTCACAGCAATAATTTATAACACTTCAACTAAGTCAGCAGGAAACTATATTGTACTTTTTTTTCTTACTTTTCCTAATGGTCAAATAAATACCTTATGTAGTAGCAGACGGTAGCTGCAGTTGTATTTTTAATTACTAGTAACTTCTGGGTGAAGTTGTTCAAAGCTTGGTTAGCTCTAATCTTGAGTTAAATGCGAACAGGGCATATCAGTTTTCACTGTATATAACCCAGGATTGTAAAACTCAACCCTAGACAGAATTGTTGCAATAAATTGCTTAATATGCAAACCATCAGGTTGTGGTTCCAAAATTCCTGGCACAAAGTCATCACCACTCAAAACAGCATTTTCAGGAATCAGATGAAACACTCTCTCTAGAGGTGGGTGGATTTGAAGAACAAAACTCAAACTGCATGCCTTAACTGCACACAGACTGGGAGACTCTGCAGAGACCAACAAAAATGCTCAATTAAACTGAGATATGAGTTATACGGAGTTTCCAGGCTGTGGCTATATTACCATATAAGGTGGTTTCAAGATGTGATTCTATGACTTAAATAATACTTGCCATTTCTGAATAAATAATTATTGGTGTATTCTGAGGATGGTAACAGAATAAAAGATAATAATGTACCATGAGTTCAGAAAGAAGCGGCCCCATTACTTTCAGAATAAGCAAGCTTGGGAGGCCACAACTTTTGGGTGGTCAAAATGTGTCATTTATTAAATAAATTAAATAACAAATAAAGAAATTGACCACAACTGCATAACAAGCATGATGTTGCTTTAATCCTCAGTGAATTCTCTCTGCTCCTTAACTTTATTTCTTTGACATTCAGGATCATGTCACATTGCTCTAGCTTTAGTCCCACCAGGGGCAACAAGCAAGGTCAAGCCTCTTGAAGTTGTGATAAATAATGAGTTTAAAAAGTCAGTCGATCGTCAAGCCATGGAAATGCTGACAAAAGATCCCGAGTTGTTTGTTACAGGCAAGCTAACAGCAAGTGAGAGGCAGGTTCTTTTCACCAAATAGACAGGGCAAATTCTTGGTCAAAATATAGCAATAAAGCTTGTTTGATGTTAGGCACTGATGGATGGTACAGTGAATCAAAGCATTATTTTTCTCACATCATAAAGAGCAAGAAAAGGAAGGTCTGAAAAACAGATGTTACTCTGGGGAGCTGTTACTTTCAGGAGCGCTGCCACTTTCAGGAATATTACTAATGAGGTCCAAAATTTAACGTTACTTTTGGGTAGCCATCCATTTCTTTCAAAACTTTACATTAATTACTATTACCTTCAATAGTTTCTGAGATATTAACCACGCTAGCAGGAGAGCCATAGTACAAAGGAAAACTAAAATTTGAAAGGAACAAAACTATGAGTACCTCTACAACACAGCAGCCATTAATTAGAAAAAGTAAAGCTACAATGTACAATGGATCTACCATTAATTGGTAATTAATGTCACACAGCAGACTTCGCTACCCTCCTAATCAACTGTGTATTCAAAACTTGGAAGATTATACCTTTTTGGTGGAGCCTGACGTGAAGTAGTTTCAGGAAGATCAGATACTCTATCAAAAATCCTGATTATAGTCCAGCCACATCCAAAACTTCGGCCATTTACTGAAAGAAAAATAAGATAAAGATGATAACACTATTAACATATAATCTGGAGGAGATTACCGGTGAGTTGTTAGCCAGGGGGGCTAATGCAACCCCCAATGCCCGGCTTGACATTCATGCATGGGTTTTTGGTCTAGACAGGGTTCCACATTCTTTGACATATGGGTGTGCCACCCAAATGTAGAATCTCACAAGGACCTCTCCCCTCAGTAAATGTACTGTATTGCCAGCATGAACAAGAGAAGAAACGTATGTATGCAAGCCGAGTTATGGAGGTGGAACAAGCCACATTCAAGCCGCTGGTGTTCACTACTACAGGTGGCATGGCACCTTAGTGTCAAGTCTACCACAAGCCACTAGCGGAACTCCTGTCAGCCAAGAAAGGCGAGGACTACTCGACTACGATGTCTTGGATAAGACCCACAATTTCATTAATTTTGTTATTCTGAGAACATCCCTCCTATGCTTGAGGGGATTGCGTTCAATGGACTTTGACATCGAAAGAGGACTTTTAGGATGTTGATTTAGAGAAAAGATAATGAATATTGCATATTACTACTATTTAATATTCTTATCATTGTTAGTTCATGTTGAAATCATGGTAGATTTTAAACAGGAATTAGTGAAAAGATGTTAAATATTGGTAGTGATTGCTATTAGTAATAGTAATAATACTAATAAGTAGAGAAACATTTTTGTGGATTATATTTCAAGAGATATTGAGACTTTATGATCTTTCCTTATTTTCTAACAGATGTTAAGGTACAAATTTTGTCTCAGGAAAGTTTTACAGCTCAGTTGTAAAACGCAGTTAATGGTACGTGACGCCTTAAATCAGCAACATGAAACGCAGTGTTATGCTTTAGTCGTTATCAAATCTCGTAGAATTTTACTTGTAGTGGGTAAAAGTACTGGATAGTACGTAAAATCACTTCTATAGCTGGGAAATTACTGATACAATAGCAATCCTTGTTTTTGTTGCAGTTGGGGCTAGTTTCTAATGTATCAATCATTTTCTATGGCTAGTAAAAATATTTTCCTCATGCATATCTTGTGGATCACTTTAGGTGCACGTTCTATTCAGTAGTACAGTATTCTTCATTGGCTTACCTAGGGATAGCACTCGGACTATAAAAGGCCTGGTAAAAGTCCTGTGTCTCACTCCGAGCTGTATTGCTAAGTTGGAATACTTCAAGACAATTGTCCTAAAGTTTTGTAATTCCCACCCTTCCCTCCCCTTAGGGGTTTTGTTGTTGTTCCTAATAAACATGAGCTCACTGCTTTCTTTCGCCTTCGGTTTAAGTCTCACAGGAACTTCCCCAAGCTTTGATTTTAACGCAAACTTTTATGTTTGATTGTATTCCAGCACGTTCCGGAGTTGGCTTGTAGTGCTGATAAGATAAAGTTCCTGGAACAAACTATTTGCCTACACCATTCCATTAAATTGCACAATGCTGGCTGGAGGTTTCAGCTTATAGTGCCGTGAAGTGTTAGGCAGTATTAAGTTTGTTTGTTTTGGACCTACCTGAACTTGTCCGACCCGGCACGTGTAAATTAGCACCGGGGAGATAAGTAGGGCTTTATGCTGATCGTAGAGCGGTGTTCCCTCCATTACACCATATGTTTTGTTGTCTTGTTTTATTACACTTTAATTTTTAAAGCCTATCTAAAGGAACTTCGACATTAATTCTTTTTTTAAGTGAAGCACTGTACATAAGTATTTTTATGAGTATTGAAAAAAAACTTTTTTTAACATAATTTATAAACTCCTCATAGTTGTTGAGGGTGGCATAGAATATTTTCACAGCCTGGAATCAAACCCGAAGGCTGTGCTGTAAGGAAAATTGAAGGGCGCCCAGTGCTCTGAACCTGTAAAATCCAGGGTGTGCAGCATATTTTGTATGAAAAATCTGAGATTTTCTAGTCACCCAGGAGCAAAAGTTGGGCGCCAGGGGCCACCGGGTTCTGCTAGGGCACGGCCCTGGACCCTCTTATTTTCTTGTGCAACTGTTGTGTCCTTTTTCTTGAATTTTGAATACTAGAGTAAAGAGTTTTTTTGTTTCGTTTTGTGAAATGCAAATGCACCTCTACATGTACCTGGTAAGTCCATGGAAAAGAACCACCTGCTCCAGTAAAAATTAAGAGCTATCTACACCTGTACCCCTTTCCCAGACACAGTGCTTGCCATACCAGATCCAAACAAGTTCTGAATTCCTGTCAAAAGGTCAACAATTCCTGGGATGACCCTTGCCCCATGTCTCTCCTTTAATTTCCCACAGGACCCAGGGTCTTCTGCAAACAGTTTCAATATGGTGGAGGTTGACACAAGTCCTGGAAGTCATGTTTTCGGTGAAAGTCACTTTCACTTCAGGGCTGAAAATAACAGACAGCAAGTCGCCGGTCATGATGACCGGCCAAATGTTTTTTAGCCCGGACAAACCCCGATTCTGGCCGGTCAAATAAATGAATACTATGATTTTTTTTTGCCTAAGGAATATCGAATTACATTGGCAATAGATCGTTTTGACAACACTGACATTCACATTTTTGACAGCAACTTGGTGAAAAATGCATTTACACGTTGTAGGGTTCCTTTCCGCAGTTTTTGAGTGTTTTAATGTCGTGAGCATCATTGCACGGCGGTGTCTAAAGTCTCTAAAGGTAAAAAGTGAAACGTAAATCCTTCTCAAACTCTCAAGGTTCAGGAAGTGGAATACACATACAGTTCAACAAACTTTAGGAATTATGAAAAAAAAAAAAAAAATTGGGTTATTACAGAACAAAATCTGCCCAATTTGTTTTACTTTGATGTTCCAAAATGAACGTCGGTGAAACTTGATCATTTTCCTTGCCTGGCACATGACTGAAAGTCTCCTCCATAAAGGAGAATCGCAGCTAATATTTTTGGCAAAGAAGTTGATTTGCATTGGTGAAAAGTCTGTTCCACAAACAACCTGTTTATTATCAGACGTCAATTAATATACAGCTTTCATTCGGGTCATCGCACAACACTTAATTGCAAAGGGCTCAAATGTCAACAGAAAGTTGTTTACAAGAAGGAGAATTAAGCGCCGAGATAGACAACGTTCCTTCTCGATTAGCTTAAATTTTTATCAGACTATTCTGGAATCGAGTCCGCAAACGAGATTCATGTTCAACATAAAGAAATTATCCTTAATCAATGCGCTAACATTTATTCCCAGAAAAACACAGGACGACCCCTTGAGAATTGCGATCGATTTGCCCAAATTCCATCGAATTCCGCAAGCAGGTTACATTACTGACCTGCAACGTTGCATTACTCCACAACTCAGTTCGTTATTGTTTCGCTTTGTTGCATTTCATTACGACATGAAATTAATTTGTTGTGGCTTTTTTTTCGTAGAAGGTTTTGGTGCAAAGCAGCAAAATTGCCAAAGAAAAAGAAATCATTACAGCGTTATAGAGCATTAAGCGACAACTATATGGAAAATAAAATGTTCATATCCAAAAATGACCGGTCAAAATGACCGGCAAGATGAGAGTTTGACGGGTCAAGTCGGCGATCAGGCCGGACAATGTCTGTTGACCGGCTGTTATTTTCAGCCCTGTCACTTTCTATGTTTTGGATAAAGAAACCAAACAAAAGATCCGAGTGCACAATGACCTCCATTCCCTTATCCCCATGAAGATGTCAAGAAATGAACAAAACAAAGTCACAAACTAAGAGAGATATCCTGGATTTTGCAAGGACCAAAGACCCACAGTTTCAAAAAAAAGGTCTTAAAGTCATCACATTAGTTACCAGTCTAGGACATGCCAGTTGTGTGGAGAGTTTTTCAACAAAAACACAATGTCAGTGGAAACAATGATATTTCAAAGTTTTGAGACGGCTGGTGTGGTTTTACATGTAATCTTAAACAGGCTAATAGTCAGCAAACCATTTTTTAGTAATGATTCTTACCTTCACCAGTTACTTCAAACACCCCAACACATGTGATATCATTCAATGAGGAGTAGAAATACACAGCCTATTTTGAAATAGAAAAGTAGAAAATAATTTTTTAATCATTAGTTTGATTTATATTACTTAATCACTCAAATAATATTAATTATTATTTGGATGACAACAGGTTAATAGGCTCCTGATAATGATGATGATGATGATAATAATAATGATAATAATTATAATAGTAATAATAATAGTAATAATAATAAACACAATATTAGATTGACATGTCAGGGTGCAAAGAAAGTCAGTTTTACAGCTTGCCATTCGGGCAAGCTGTAGCTAGCATGCACTAGCCCACAACTCATTTCAACTAGCCCCCAAACCCTTTTTTATTAGCAGGATTGATTACAATCCTTCTGTACTTTGAATTTCCCCAAAAAACAGCACTTGCCCGTCAGGCAAGTTAAGAACAAAAATCACCAGCCCAACGGTAAAATCCACTGGCCCCAGGCTATCGGACACGACTTTGCACGCTGCATGTGCACATTTACATATATAGATCACTACTATTTTTACCTCATCACAAGTTAGGCTATGTCTGCCATTTTCTTTTGCACTGCTTGAAAAGTAAGGTCCCAACCATGTGCTTCCAAAGAAACACTTATTAGCAGCATCATACAAAGTAAATCGTAGCTGAAATTCTACATCTTGGGAGTTAACATTCTGAAAAATGCAAGCAATAAAGTTCATTTCACATTCCGATGACATTAATGAGAAAGAAATATTATTATAGACTGGAATGTATAAAAATATTTGCTTCAAGATATTTCAGCCAAATCACATGGCTTTCATCAGTCGTGCTATGTAACCTTGTATTCACTTTCAACTGATGCAAGCCAAGCAATTTGGCTGAAACATCGCAAAGGAAAGGACAATGTCCAACTAGGTCACATTGAAAAGTTCAGCTTCTGAAACTACAGTGTAGCTAAGTTGTTTCTCAGTACAACTGACTGCTAGCTTTGAAAAAGACGCATTTGTTCTAAGTCGCCTAAACCAGCTTTCTAGAGTGAGGCTTTGGTAATAGTCTGAAGAATAAGTAATGAGTTTAGCAGTCAATGCAATGGTTTGCCTGTACAAGCCATTGCATTGCAGCGTAATATTAAGCTTATAATTTATTCATTCAAAATATTTTCCCGATTCTGATTGGCTAAAAGCAAACACATAATTCACCATAACCAGCTACTGATGACCAAATTTGAGGAGGAGGGATTTTGATTATCAGAGTCTTCCAGGGGGTGGGGACTTTAAACTGTACCCTCAATTTCATGTGAAATCCCTGGCGTGGCAAGCTATGATAGGGGAAGCAGTGTTTGACGATTTTTGAGGAAAAGATTGTGCCTTTGTGGCCAATTGGTTATGAGGAAGGGACTTAAACAAGCTTTGTGCCGTATTTAAAGGTATTTAAATAATTTTAATATTTTTAATATTGGATTCAGGCTTTGAATATATGAATGTATTAAGTTGTGTTTACAATGAAATGCAATACCTATACTGGCGATTCAATACAACAATAAAAACAGGACTGAAAATAACCGACAGCAGGTCGCCAGTCATGATGACCCAATTCTGGCCGGTCAAATAATGAATACTATTTTTTTTTGCCAAAGGAATATCAAATTACACTGGCAATAGATCGTTATTACTACATTGAATGACGTTCACATTTTTGACCGCAAGTTGGTGAAAAATGTATTCACATGTTGTAGAGTTCCTTTCTGTGGTTTTTGCGCGTTTTCATGTCCCTTCTACCTTGAGTATTGTTGTACAGCGGTGTCTGAAGTCTCTAAAGGTAAAAAGTGAAGCGTACTGTATTTATTCAGCTATAAGCCGAGACCCTAAACTTTGAACACGTAGAATCAGCATAACCCTCTTGGGCTCAAATTTGACTTAACTTTAGCTTTAATGTGTGTAAAAATCGCTCAGCTTATAGCCGAATAAATACAGTAAATCCTTTTCAAACTCTCATGTTTAGGAAATGGAAAACACATACAGTTAAGGTGGCTCGACTGGATTTTTTGGGGTTGATACCTCCCAACTTTGAGCATTAACTACGTCGGCACGAGTAAAGATATGGAAAAAAGGTTACCACAACTGTATTATATAAAGATGAAAATTTCTTATGATCTGGGTTTTGTTGCAATCGGAGTCGTCATGGCAATGTAATGACACCATTACGTTTTTCATGTATCTTTGTGTTTCTCTGTTCCAGGAGTTTTTTTGAAGAAATCGCTTTAGGGAGTATGTACCTGCTATAATTGCCTCCATTATGGCAAAGTTTGAACAAATTCTATGAGAGCGTTTTCGAAATATTTTGAAATGTACTTTTAAGAATAATAAAAACAGTGAAATAGCATGCTACCTACACAATTCGCTAATATTTCAAGAAAATGATAAGCTTTGGGAACGAGGCTTCATCTCATAGTGGTTTGATTCCATTGAAAACTGCATACGAAAAAAGAGGGGAATTGCTCTGGGCGATCGTGAGTAAGAAGAATTTTATTAACTTACATTTAGCTGCTTTTGATACAGTTTTTGGACGTAATTTGGTCCATGCCTAATAATTTCGCATTTTCCCAAAAACCGCTCGATAAATTTTTTTATAAATTCGATAATCCCGAGATCAATCGTCAAGAAATATTCCCTGCAAGTTTTCAGAACATTGAAAACAGGGAAGGCTTTTAAATAGGGCCTCAAATATAGCCAATTTTCCCCCCAGATTTTTGTGTTTTTGTTTGACATAAAGAAATTATTATTATTAATAATTGAAGCACTAACATTATTCCAGGAGAAATAGAGGACGACCTGCCCGAATTCTGTCAAATTCCCAAAGAAGGTCACATTACTGATTACAGTAAAGCAGAAAGTACAGTACAACCTGCAATGTTGCGTTACTCCTCCAAAAGTCAGTTTGTTATTCACTTTGTTGCGTTTCATTATGAAATGATGGCATAAAATTAATTTATTGCAGCATTCTTTTTCTTAGAAGGGTTTACTGCAAAGCAGCAAAACACGCCAAAGAAAAAAAAAATCACTACAGCTTTATAGAGCATTCAGCAACAACTGTATGAAAAATAAAATGTTCGTATCCAAAAATGACCAGCCAAAATGACCAGCATGACCGGAGTTTGACCGGTCAAGTCCCTGATCAGGCCGGAAATTGTCCGTCGACCAGCCGTTATTTTCAGCCCTGAAAAAGCTCAACAGAGGTCAATTACTTTCACCTGCCGCATGTATGTTAATTAATAAGGTGAGCGATGATCCATGTCAGTGAAATGGTCATGATGTAGTAGTAATCTCAATAGGTGGGATTTTTTTTATTGAATGCTATATATGTTGCATGACACCAAGAAAAGCTGAGCATTCAGTGACCTTGTAGCAGAAATTTCTGCCACTTTGCACGAGACTTTTGTTCGTAGCAAATAAGCTAACAGAGTGATTTTGTTCGACAACTGAAGGCGTTTCTGCAGTCCTTCTGTCATTTATGTGCCTGTGAAATGTCCCCTGGGTGGGGGCCTTTGATCACCTGAATGGACCAGTTAAAATCTTCGCTAATGAGCATGTGAACAATAATAACAGCTGAAATTAACAAAAATAACCAGCCGTACTCACAAGAGATTATGGTAGAGAAACCCCAGTGGACACTAGTGTGGGGCATTTGAACGGCATTTTGGCATGGGTAGGGGGCAATTTGAACAATAATTTTCAAGAAAGTCAAATGACCGGGGGGTGCCAGGGGGGGATGTTGAAGCTTCGATTTGGCCAATACACAATCAACTCAGCCTCATTCATTAATTGTCAAAAATCTATCCCTCTCTGTATGTTATTATATTGCGATTAGTTTTCATAATGCATAAGTGACTCTGGTTTTCTTTCGTAAATAATAAATTCATGCAGTTCCTCATTGACAGAATATTTAGCAACAGACTGATATGGTAAAATCTTCGCTCATAAACAGGTGAACAATAATAACAGCTGAAAATAACAAAAATAACCAGCAGTACTCACAAGAGATTGTGGTAGAGAAACCCCAACTACAGACTTAAACAACAGACGAAAAGGAACGTTAGGCTTTGATTGAGATCCTGACTTTCTTCTGTTGGGATGTACTGGAATAAGACGATTGTTTTCGAAGAACTCTGGCCAGTTTTCCTCCTCATCGCTCCCGTCCGCCATATCAAACCATGGCGCCAATTTGAAAATGGTGGAGCGCCACCTCGCTTCCAAACAGACCGCGAAAAAAAGGGGAAACTGGTAATGTTCCCAAATATGGCGAAGTGCCTAATATGGTATTATCAGGGTGTCTCTTTCCTAGTAAAATGGCGGCTTGAGAGTTAGTGAAAGTTTCCACACAATTTCTTTCAGAGAACTCTATGTTAGGGTGAATTCCAGTATTGAAGATTTGTTTTGCAGCTAGACGGAGTTTCTCATCATGATTGGAGGTTTCTTCGTGTACAATCATAAGGGCGAGGTGTTGATATCTCGAGTTTACCGGGACGATATTGGGTGAGATGGAACTTTCAGATTTTAGAAATTACTTTCTTAAAACATTGTTCCTCACTATCATATAAAAGAAGATTTCTGTTTAAATTAAAATAGTGTGTTCAACTCAAGCACTGATGCCAAAACCTACATAAACGTTCTGTATTTACTGGTGATAATTAACTGGAGAAAGTTTCTAACAATCTGTATTTAATCCCGGCGTATCCAATCGATGGAAATCGATGATCGGAATACCAATCGATTATTCGATAAAATTAGTTAAGTGGTATCGATTGATATCGATCAATCGATGATCAATCGATAACCACACATAAACAGTTCATTGATTGCTATCGATTGGCACAACAACCTCGAACAGACGTCACGCACGCTAACTGTCCAATCATGCGCCATTTTTAGAAAGCCCTGGGGACGAAATTGGTTAAACAATTCTCAATGCAAAGAGTATATCCCTTTGCACATGTACTCGAATTACCCGGTCGCCTGTCATTGCTTTTCCGTGTCATTATGTCTACACAAGAATTCAGTCTGGGAGGAGGCTTTACTGAATATAAAGTGCATCGTCAAAGGCTATAATCTTTGCCGGTTTGAAGTGAATGTCAGTGACGTGTGTATCAGGCTAGGTATTGCTGCTTTATTCATGATTTTGTAACAACTCATGGTTTGCTAAAGTACAACTTCTGTTACCAGAATTTTTGTGTGAAGACACGATGCAACCAGTTTCCGTTTTTTTAAGTTTGCAGTATTGGCCTATGTCTGCAGGTATTAAATAGTCTTCAACATTGAATAATGTTTTCAAACTTCCAACGTTTCTGTTTCCCAGTTTGGTTAACTTTTTCATGGGATACGTGTGGACGGGAGGCAAAAACAGGAACAAACTTTTGAGTTGTCAAAGGAAAATGGATACCTGTGGACTGGGCGAAGAGAAAGGAGAGAGTATTGTTCTCCTGTTAACATTCAAAGCATTTAAATGAAATGTGTTTACAATTACTGCATACAAAGATGTGATATTTATGTGCTGTTTCCGTCAATCTACAACCAATGGATACCAATCGATACAATTATTAATACATACATTTATTTATATATCAATTGTTATTGAAAATCGATACCAATTGATAACCACATGAATCTTCGCCATCGATTGGTCATCAACTATCAATATCAATTGAGTAATTGATATCGATTGTCATTGATTATCGGTTTCATTGATTGGGTACGCTATTATTTCATACACTGCACTCTATTATTGGAGACTGTCCTGGATCATTTTTAAATTCATCTTCACTTGAGAATCATCTGTATATCTTGTTTTGTCTATATTTCTATACAACATCTCCTTCGTCAAAAGAGTAAACATTTTCTTCCCTAGCTGGAAGCAAACTCTGAGTAATTTGTATTTGGCTTAAGTAAATGTTTTTGATAGCTGATCACTACCACCATCCTTGATTCCATTCCAGTTCCGTGGGACCCAGGGTTTGATCCCCTCCTGTTGGCAAGTAATTCATTGCTCCATAGAAGGGTAATAGTTGTTTTGGTAAAAAATGTGAGGTATCACTGACATAGGAGCATTGGTTCCCTTGGGCTGAGGTGAGAGTAGGAAGAATACAAGACAAACACAGCAGAAACAAACAAACCTATTGAGGAGCACTAAAAACTCTACATGAAGGAACTGACGTACCTGTCATTAAAGGCTAAGGCTGTGTCTTTTCATCTGTATGCTTGATTGTATACTTACTATGATTTGTATGGGAAAGTTAGGAGAACTTATCAAGTGCAATAAAGTCTTTTGATAACATTTCTGACACCCATTTTCCTTGCATTGTCTATTTTTAGTCGAAATGCAGTGGATGCCTTCCGTGTGAATGTCATCCACGCTAGAGGTCAAGTTCGCTCTCCTGTCACAAACATTGCCCGAACAAGCTTTTTTCATATAAGGCAAGGAAATGTGTGGCTTGCTGCTGTGACAAGGCAAAATGTAAATGCTGCCATGGTGTTTGAGTTCTTGAATCGCACAGTAGAGATTATGATATCTTATTTTGGAAAAGTCACTGAAGAAGGAGTTAAGAACAACTTTGTCCTGATTTATGAACTCTTAGATGGTAGGTGTGATAAACTTTACTGAAATTAAGTTATCTCTAGGGACAGTTAATAAGAGGCTTAGAAGCTTGTTCATCCTTTAACTTGAACTCTGAAGGGAAATGAAAAGCGGTTGAGTTAGTGGGGATTCTAGTTATTATTGGGATCAACTGAATGTCAAATTTGCCATCGTAATAGTTACTGATTTTTCTGTGTATAGTATACTGTAAATTTAACTTTTTTCATGAGAAATGGTAAAATGATTATGCTCTATACAATAAAACGTGATCTGTTCTTTGCACCAATCAAAATCAAATTGCCATAGTGTTAGTTTTAGGGGTTTTACCAACTACACAACAAGAAGAACCAATGAAATGGCATTCGCGTGGAGTTACAAGAACCAGAATTAAAGTTATCAGGGTATATTTCAGTAAAATTTTTAACTAGGGAAAGGAAATCTTGTTAGAGTTAGCAAGAAACAATTCAAGTTATCCGAGTTATCAGGGTTCTACTATATGTTTATTTTTGTGATTTCTTTACCAATGAAATGATCATCTACTATGGGCAAAAAGCAGGTACTAAACTTTTTTTTAAAATGGGAAATCAGCATTGTAGTAAGACTTCCAGATCTGACAGGGCAAGTGATGCATACACCGAAATACGTTAATGGCTAGTGGGATCTGTGGGTTGCCCAAAGGAAAGTGTAATACCTGCAATGTTGGTCAAGCAAATACTTTGCCTTGCATAATGCTAGCATATTGCTAGCTTTAATTCTTCCATTATTTGACTACTGTGACATTGCCTGGAGTAACCTTCTACAGCAAGATATAGATCGACTATGTCCACAGCACCTACAGAATAGATCTGCACGGATTATCACACGTTGCTCTTGCTCATCTGAAGCAATAGAGCAGCTGCACTGGCCGACTCTTTCCAGCAGACGCTCTTACCACAAGGCTAAACTCATTTTTCTCTGTCTTCACTCATTAGTTCCTAGTTACTTTTCATTAAATTTTTACTAGGTTTGCGAACATTCACAATCATTCCACAAGGCAAAGTATGAGGCTATCCCTACCAAACGTTTAACAAAATTTTGGGAAAAGGACCTTTCTTTTTGCTGGCGCAAAAATTTTTACAATCTCCCTTTAAACATTGTGAAGAGTGAAAACATTCAAACGTTCTGCCACCAAGCAAGACATTTCTTTTTATCATAGCTTTGATATTTCATTACTATTAATTTTTATGCTTTAAATGTGATTTTGTATTGTATTTTTAGGCTTTTTAATGTAGTTCTTAAATTCTAGTATTGTATTTTTATTAGGCTTTTTAAATGTAATAGTTCATGAAAATTCTTGATGTAATTTAATTTTTTTAAGATACAGGGCCCCTATGGAGACCAGCCTTAGAGCTGAATGGGCTACCCTGTGGAAATAAAGTTTTACTGTACTTTACTTTACTACCCTGCAATAACAGCAGTCAGTTGTGCTTTCAACTCTAATTTACTACATGGCTAAATTTTGAATTTGGTTTAACTTAGAAATTGCTGATTATGGATATCCCCAGAAGACAGACACTGCTATTTTGAAGACATTTATTACACAGCAGGGTATCAAGACTCAGGCAAGTCTATTTTCTTTCCAAACATATGAATGAAAGAAAAAAGAGATAATGTTATTTAAAGACCATTACCTGCTTATAAGGGCCTCCATTTGATTGGTGCACTTCAAGATTCTTCTTCAACAGACCTCACTTAATTGTTCCCATTAAACAACTATTAATTAACACGTTATCATTTAATTGCTTAACTGTATTCTTTTTCCAGGTAATGTTTGTTTGTTTGTGTGTTTGTTCGTTCATTTGTTCATGTTTTTATAACTGGGCAGGCCACTCATAGAAAGCAGAGGTCTAAGTTGACAGTGAATTAATGATGACAACAACAGGAAGGACCAAACACTGGGATGAATGTCCTTACTACGGTTGCTGAAACCACTGTCATGATTTTTGAAACAGTAGTTATAGCACCCAAATTAAAAATTATTGTTAATATACATCCCTAATTTACTCAGGCAACTTAAAAAAGGTTCTATTTTTGTAAAACTATCCAAGAAGTAAATTATCTATGATAAAAAAAAAACTTCCATGAAAGATACACACAAGTCATTTCATTATCACTGCGTTAAATTTTAAATCTCTTGGTTTGGATTTCATTAAGAATGTTTCTTATCAGTCATTTAAGTAATTAGATCAAACAGTCAATTCTGATACCAAGGCAGTATTATTGAGCTGCACCTTGTTTCTTCAACCTGTTTTCCATCGTATGTGATACATTACATAAAAATCACACAATAAATGTCATGTTAAGGTGGCTCAACCCAGTATTTTTGTAGGTACACCTTCCATCTTTGAATCTCTTAGACTTAAGCGAATTGATCTTTATTGTAAAAACATTATAACACGTGTATTACACATAGACTTGACTTTATTATGATATTATTTTTTGGGCGATCAGAATAAATATCATGTGACAATGACCTCACAATATTTGTGTTTGACGAAGGCGAATGCAGTCTATTCTGTAAGGTGCGGTTACCAATTTCGTAGCGTGGCTACCGAACATATAGAGGCGCTTTCTGCCAGATTCTTCACATTCCTTTGGTTGGTCACATATTTGTGCCGTTTTTGTCACCATTTTGAATTTCACTCTATGACGTAATGCGCGCGCAAAAATACAGGATTGAGCCACCTTAAATAATATATACTGGTTTATTTAGACACGGGAAGAGCAAGCACAGATCACAAGCCAGGTCACAGGACAGATTGGATGGCGTAGAGAGGGTATCAAATACAGGAGAAATGAACTTTTTCTTGATGTTCTGGAGTCTGTTAATCTGCTTATGTCTCCACAAGGTTTGTACTACCCTACCCTCCCCTCCTGAAAACACAAACTGTAGAAAAACTAAGATGCAATTAATTCTCAAAAAAATCTTAATGATCAGATTAGCATTGCTTAATGCAGTCTAACCCTTAATAATGATCAACTCCTATAGCTAGTCAGTAAGTCATGACCTTAGCCACATGCAACCACTGCATCTGTAACCTCCATTTGGTGGACAACTATCTCAAGCAGACACTTCTTCTGGTCCAACGCACTTAAGGGAGGTTCAACTGTTTCTTACAATATTATTATGGAATAGTACCATACCCTTGATATTTTACGTAGGGAGACTCAAGATTACATTGTATTTGGCTCAACATCCGATTCCTTTAAGATTTTAAATGGAGCAATTATTGCTCCATTTAAAATCTTAAGTATTATTTTTCCTACAGCAAGACTGATAACACAGTGACTTATGGAGCTATTTTTACTTTTCTTTTAGTGTTACTAGGCATTGCTCACTTGCCCATGACCCGACGCATGCCCATTAAATATTAATGTCTTTGTGAAACCAAAGTTTAACACTGAGACTCTTAGCAAGAGAAAGTAACAAAATTTATCAATCAGTATGATTACATGCGTATCCAAAACATGCGAAAATTGCTATTCACTGATTTGGTAAATACTAAAACCAAATCTCATTTGCTCAAATGTAAAGGAAACAACAAAAATGTTACAATGCAAGTCTGGTTAATTAATTATTTTGTAATGGTTTGCTAGGCTATTTGAATAGCAAAATTGCTCATTATTTATTCTTCTTCAGAAAATAAAAATTAATGTTTCTTATGCTGCTTGTTATTTTAGGCCAGGTTCTTAGTGCTCACGTGTCGGGCCGAGTAGTCATGAAGAGCTTTTTGTCAGGGATGCCTGAATGTAAATTTGGGATGAATGACAAACTGGTGGTTGAAAAACAGAAAAGTGGAACATCTGAGTCATCCATTGACTCACAAAAGAAGTGAGTGACACTTGACCTGCGATTTTTGTCATCAAAACATTTTCAATAACCTCATCTGAGTTAAATCCTAAAGTTCCGTTGCGTTTACAACCTTAAAATGTAGTACATACAACTGAAGTGAACAAAATGCTACTTAATAAACAATGGCATGAACGATGTCCTTTCCTTAACAAATGATTGCACTAATAATAATTTTGATTTAGCTGTATAGCAGCAGTTTTTTAATGAAATGTAAACGTTTCTACCATAAAAATAACTAACAGTCATGCAATATGCTTTGATTTTTAATTGTATGATTCTCAACCATTATGTTGTAACATTTGTTTAATAAATTTCATTGTGTTGTCTTCATGATTCATTGTTGTCAAATGTTTCAGAAACACTACTAGCAAATCAGGAATTGCCATTGATGACTGCACATTCCATCAGGTAACATTGTTATTATCTTCACTCAAGGTTGATGGACTGCACCCTCATTTTCTCAGTCCACCCACCTGTATTTATGGTTATCACATAATGCCATTGGTGGTCATGTGATTGCCCGACCTTCCATCCATGGTGGACTGGCAATGCTGATCCATGCCTTCTGGTAGTTGAATAATATCCTCCAAGGTTGTGCTCTAAGAAAAACAAAAGGGAACCAAGCGCTTGTAACCTGTGAAATCCAGGGTGCCCAGTTTACAAGTTTTATGACAAAACTAAGATTTCCTAGTTTTCCAAGGACAAAAGTAAGGTGACAGGAGCCTCTGGGCACTGCTAGAGCACAGCCCTGTCCTCCCATGTGGGGTGCCTGTTTCACATAAGCATCTTTTTGTACATATATTGCAGAGGTTAAACAACACCTGGATGTGTCTGTCACTTAAACTGTTTTTCTTCTAACAAGTTTTTAACTTTCCTGTTAAGATTAAATTTTTTTATTTGTATGCTCTTAAGATATCCTTTATATCCTTTTTTTTACAATTTTTGTTTTTTTTCCTTTTTGCAGTGTGTGAAGCTTAGCAAATTTGAAACAGAACGTGCCATAAGTTTTATACCACCCGATGGAGAATTTGAGTTAATGAAGTAAGGACGGTTTTACTGTTAACTAAAAATACACAGAATTCATCTACAACAGTCAAGGCACTATGACAGAGTATACACAAATTAAACAGATCATATCATCAATTCTTACCCCCAGCCCAGGCAATAATATTACTTGAGGATGTGTTGCATGAACATACTTTGTTTGTCATCAGGTATCGCACTACCAAGGATATAAGTCTGCCATTCCGAGTTATACCATTGGTAAGGGAAGTAGGCAGGACACGGATGGAAGTTAAAGTGGTGATCAAGTCTAATTTTAAGCAGTCAATTTTGGGACAGAAAATAGAGGTATTACTTTTATACATAGAGTCTATTGTGCATGTTTTCTGTAGCTTTCACCTAGACCAACATTAGGAGTGTAAGAATACATTCTACCTCTCAGTATATTTTAGCTGTAAGTGTTCCAATAGCAATGTATCAAAATTATTACAAGTTAAACTTTGAATACAGCATAGACATCATTAAATTTTGGCTTTTTTATCCAGTGACAGCGCATGAATACTCAGGGTTCGAAATTTTTTTTTATGTCCAGTTGCCCCTTGGGCAACCACAAGACTTGATTTGGTTGTCCAAGTCAACCTCTTAGCCCAAGTAAATCCAAGAAAATAAAACACTGAGGTAGCTCAAGTTTACTGACAGTTTTGTTTCACAATAAAATGCACCTCACTTATGTTTCATGTGTTTTTTTTTTTTATCCCTCAAGGCGAAAACAGTTGTTGCCTGTTTGGCCTCCACATGCAGATTTATCTTTTGAAAGCCATCTGTGATAACTACAAAACATAGCATTTTCTTTTGCAACAAATTGTAGCCACGATCACGTAATCCTCACTTGGAAGTAATAACATATGAAAAGAACTGGACGTGCCACAGTCCTCATGCACCCAGTTCTTTCTTGCACCCATAACTACATGTACAAAGTCCCCCATGACTTTTAAAACCTCTGATAACAAACTCTTTTTTAAGCTTTCTAATTCTTTCACCTATACTGTGCTGTAGCTTCCTCTATAGATTCCAAATTAAAGTAGTAAAGGAGGCTCGTACATTTTGTATTTTACAACTGCACAGAGAATCATGGTGCGACAACAGGCAGGAAGACAGACAATATTTATTTTTCTTTAGGGACAAATGCCTCAGCAGATTGGGTTGTCCAAGGGGCAACAACCCAGCACATTAATAATTTCAAACCACTAAAAACTCTTCTTTTTTTTTTTGTTCATTTATTTCTTCTTGCTATTAGCTATGAACCATTGGTTTTTTCAGTGTCTGTTTTAAATCGTGTTATTTGTTAAAACTTGGGTAATTTCCGAAGAAAAAGAGGCAGCCAGTTCATATGAAATACTCATGTAGCTGGCAAATTTTGCCGGTCACCAGCTCTTATTGAAAACCCTGCAAATGGATACGAGTGATGGTGACATTTTGTCATTCAGTTTGCTTGGCTGAGTGCTAAAGTCCCCAGCACTTGAGATCAATATGCAAGTTCAATTTCTGCCTTCTGAGTATTTTTTCTCTACTTTTACTTTTCTTAGATATTAATTTATTAAACATAAAAAAAATATGTTGCAATAGTCATGTGTCTGGAAGGTGAGGAGATGCGGAAAGGCTGTAGTGAACAGGTCACTTCACTCAATTTTTTTATTACAGACTAAAGCTCAAGATAGAGCATTCATAAGTTAAAAAGTAATATGAGCTATTTTGTTCACTCCATAGCCTGTGAATACAGCTGTTTCTCTTTGCTCCTCGCCGCTAGGGACATTTAAACATCCTGAGGAGACAGGAGAGATGGTTGTATTCACAGGCTGTTCATTCCATGTTCCGTGAATAATAATTGAAGCCAGCCTGACTAATTCATACTCTGTGCGCATTCTTGTATTCAAGTTGTGTTCAGTGTAATTTATGAGCGTGAGAGGAAAAGATAAGAAAGAAATCAAGACAAGAACAATGTTGGTTTCTTGTTAACAACTTTTTTAAATTGGTCCTATTCTTAGGTGAAGATTCCTACCCCTCCAACTACAGCTGGTGTTCAAGTGGTGTGTATGAAGGGAAAAGCTAAATACAAAGCCAGTGAAAATGCTATTCTTTGGAAGTAAGTGTATCTTAATACCATACTTAACGCTCCATCAAAATTATGAAATAGCCCCTTTGAAGATGATTTTCCTTTTTTCACGGAATTTGAAGAGACTGAGCATGAATTACCCGAAAAGGCAAATAGATGGTCTGTGAACAGGCTGGAAATGAAACCGTGTTATTAATATTTTGTAGGTGTACTTGACATGTGGAATTATTTTGGGGGATAACAAATAATAAACTCTGCAGCCACCCTTTATGGGCTCGACCGTATAGAAAAGCTGTACAGTATTGTTGTTGTGCTGTGACAGAAAAAAATGGTAATCTGCATGATGTGGACACCTCGGTTTTCAGGCATCTACTTTTCCATCTTAATCAGTTGTATAAATGCAGTTTAAGTCCTTGCAGTGAGCAATAAGTTTCTTTACGCACAGTTGTGATGTAGTGTTGTATCCAGACAGTTCTTCTTTTATTTAGCAAGCAAATCATTATACCTGTTTCAGAATAAAGAGAATGGGTGGAATGAAGGAGTCACAGATCAGTGCTGAGATCGATCTTATGACCACTAAGGATAACAAGAAATGGGCACGGCCTCCGATTTCCCTTAATTTTGAGGTATCACTATCATCACTCACACTATGTTTTAATGGTAGAGTTTTTTTAGGGTTTTGAATGATACAGCTCTTCATTTAAATCAACACAGGGTAAGGTAGCCCAGATGTACCATTATGTGTTTTCAGGCCATGAATCTACACAATAGTGTGAATCAAACACGGCAAACTTGGGCTGCCTTCGATAATAAAGCATGTTTAATTTAACAATTCATGAATGAGGCTCAGTATCTTATGAAGAATTATGGAGATCGAGGAGGGTGTTATCGGCCGAGGCGGATAACACCCTTCCGAGATCTCCATAATTCTTCACATGATACGAAAGCCGAATTCAATAATTGTTTTATTATTCACTCAAAATAATTCCTAGTTTAAAAACATAGCTAAAACAACCTTACGGTTACCTGCATCGATGTTAAGTTTTTCTTCGATAGTTTACGTTTAGGTTTGTCCAGCTCCGCAAATATTCTCCAAATAGCAGATGTCCCCCTCCGAGTTGTCTTCTTGCTGTTTTTGCCATGTTTTTAGCTATTATTTCGCCTAGTTCCAGCTGTAGTTCTTACTCTTGAAACGAGTGAAGTGTCCGCCATTTTAGTTTTTAAAACGAAAACAACTCAATCTCGTCCCCAGTTCTCTCGGTTAACGGTGCATTAACCTGTAGAAGGCTGCATTTTTGACGTCATTTCCTCGTTAAACACAAAATTCTTCCAAATTTGGTCATCAGTAACTGGTTATGGTGAAGTATGCGTGTGCTTTTAACCAATCAGAATTGGAGAAATATTTTGAATGAATAATAATAATAATTAAAAGCAATGATGCAAACTGGTATAATATATACGTCATGTTTTACTGCGCCAAGAACCCTAGCCAGGCCTTTTTCATGATGACTCATACCCGCCCAAAATTATTTGATCCTATCATAAGTACTTTATCTTTCCCTAAGAGTAAAGGAAAATCGGAGTGAAATTATGTCGTAACCATGAGTAACTGATTCATCGTATGATCACACGTGCCTTTGTCTTGATTCTTTGTTTCTTGTGGTCATTTTCTATCAGCAGCAATCAGTCGTTTTGCTTGTTTGTTTGTTTCAGGTTCCATTTGCTTGTTCTGGTCTAAAGGTGCGATACCTGAAGGTGTTTGAACCCAAACTGAACTACAGCGATCATGATACCATCAAATGGGTGCGATACATATCTAGATCGGGATTGTATGAGACCAGATGTTAAAACTATAATTTGTATAGCCTTGTGAGCTGTACCGGCCTCTTTCCTCCTTTCTTCATAGACATTTCAAGCTAAAGCATGCAAGTTACCGTAAATGCTGTCAAATCAATTAGCTTCATTTACTAAGGTCACAAGGAAAATTATCAATAAAGCTTTCGCAGGGGGTGCATACCTGCCTTATAGTTTTTTACTGTTTTTAGAAAGAAAAAGTACACTTCCCTCTGATGAATGTTTATGACCGTTAACACTACATGTACCGGTACTTTGTATTCTTTATTTCCTGTATTTTAGTCAGTTTACTTCTTCAAAACTAAAAGAAACAACTAGCTTTCTATGCAAGTAAAGTGGTAATAAACAAGTTTCTTCACTATGTAAGGCAATTTTCTATAACTGTTCACATTTAAAAAAGCTTTTAATAAGTGCACCTTTAAATTAACTTGCCAGGTTTTGTCGCTGTCAGTTGTGATTGAGTACCGTATTTCTTTTGTTATGTTATCGTAAAAATTAGAAAATGAGGCACTTAAATTTTGCAGTAATGAATTGGTGTAAATGTAGATACTAGTTAGACATATCAGTCAGCCCTCACAACAGCGAATAGAGACGTTCCTATAAATAAAGAAATGTTTCCTTGTACTGTGATTTGCGTCTGTCTTTGCCTGCTTCACTGGAAGAAAAAAGGCCAGTGTTGGCTTGTTTGTTTAACTTTTTAACCTCAAAAGTGTTTTCCAGCGAGAAGGGTTATGACAAAAAAGTATAAATACCTAATTGTCTTCAGGAACAACCAAAATTTTGGCCATTTTGTGTAGCGACGGAAGTGGTTATGTAATTTCTCCAGTGGCGTAACAAAGGACTTGCTGGGTTGGAGGAGGTTTGGGTGAGATGAGTACCCGTCACCAGAGAGCCTGTTTGCAGGCTACCCACGATATAAACAGACTGCAAAGCAGGCATTGCATTACCAAAAAATGCATACCCATCTGAGATCAAGGGGACTAAGAGAGCTCGATGCGATCATAACATGCCCAAAATGGTAGAAAAAATAACGTGGACGTCAATTCCTTTTGTCTTAGGAGGTACTTACGAGGTGATGATGTTGTCAGTCACGTGGCTCACCGTGTTGTTATAAAGTTCCGCCAGTGCGCTGCGTAGGCCTAAAAAGCTCACTGTCGAGTCCCATTGCCGTTCAACATGGGTTTCCTCAAGGCTCTGTATTGGGAAGTCCTAATGTGTACATTATCGATCTGCCTTCTGTTTGTAAAACTGTACTTCTGCTGTAAGATGCCCTGTAAGTTTCAATCCCCTCCTCAACAACTATGGGAAGGGAACTACCTGCAGTAGACTAGGTAAAGGAACTCGGTAGTGGTTTACCATTTTTGAAAAGTTACCGGAAATTGCCGGTCGGGAGAGTAAATGGAACACGACTGTACGGGTGGTTTCAGTGGAAAATTTCCGGAAACAACAGATTTGGAGACATTTTAGATACTCTACAACGTTTCCCGTTCTTAACTCACTCGTATTCACTAAATTGTTTTAGTTCTACTCTGGCACACGGCCAAACTTCATTTGGTGGAGAACTCTTCCTACCCGCTGACAGTCAGGACAATCGAGGAAATGTGACAACATTCCACATTGAGACACCTTACAGATGTACAATTACTTGATTTTGGTTCACAGCGAGTGCTCAAGAAATCCATTTAAATCTTGCCTGGATTATCCAGCATCTTACAGTGATAGCATAAACGTGCATTTTAAAAAATTTTAAGATTAGCAACAATAGTAAAGATGTAGTAAGTAAAGAAGTTAAAATGCAACGCAGGTAAAGCCACCCTCGCCCTGGCTCATCCTTGATACAGTAATTGTTGTATGAAATGTTTCTAATCCTCGTCTACAGGGACCGCGGAAGGGGAGGGGCTGGTAGGGCTATAGCCCTACCACTTTTTTGCTGGGATTTATTTTCTAGGGCTCCAGTTGACATGGAAAAAGTTCTCGTGGAATTATTGGACTTCTCTCTAAAAGGTGGACGGTTAGAGCCAGTTGTTTTCGACGAACCCTTGAGAACTATGCAGTTCTTATGGAAGAGTGGGATGTTTGCTTGTCCGAACGATTACAACCCGATGTGCGTGCAAGGATAATAGGATGTAAGACCTAAATGGAACGATTTGACTTTTTCTTTGGTTTGCATCTTGGAGGGCGGCTTCATTCCCACACCGATAATCTATCTAAGGATACCAAGGTACCAAGGTGGCTGCTGTCAGTGGACAAGGCCTGACATTGGCATATCTAACAAAGGAGACGCTCAATATTTCGCGCAAAAGCGAAGGCCTGCTTGGTAAACCAACGCTTCCACTGAGAGCGATGCACTTCGGCCAGACTGGAGGCTGGTGCTGGTGCACTAAGCCACCCTTAAACTGCCAAAGATCACTTTAGAAGGGTCTATCATGAGGCTGTTGATCTTATCGTCAGGGCTATCTATCAGGAAAGCTTCAGCTCCTACGCCCAGATGGAGACCCTCTTGATTAAAGCTGCTAATGGTGACGACTATGAGTCTTGACGCATCATACAGAGAAAATGTTGATACAGGGGCGCTACCTGGGCATGCAACTAAGTATCTTGGAAGTTATGTTATAGGAGAAGATAGCATGTTTTGACGAAATCCTGTTGGCGGTGTCAAAGTTTCCAAAACCAAGACAAAGCCCAAACTATCTGTAAGCTGCCTGCTGTAAATCCTGCAACCAGCGCTGTTGACGAGGGTTCATTCTCATCTGCACGGCGTCTGAAGACGTGGCTTCTATCCAGGATGGGTGACCTAGCAGTGTTGAATGGTCACAAGCGGAGAATAGACAGTGTCTCTATAGCTACACAGGAGTTTGTTTCCTGCAATAAGAACCGCAAGAGAAGATTCGGCACTTCGGGCAACTTCAAAAAGTAGCAACCTCAGGAGGTTTATTTAACATATTAGCTATATTGGATAGTATAACACGTGTCAGGACGTTTATGTTATATTTGTTGAGGTGGTAAATAAGGTGGCGCGCAAATGCAAGAAAAATGGCGAAACACCGACCTGAATGTTTCTTTATATTGGCCAGAGTTTTTAGCCCTACGACCTTAAAATGGTCTCCGCGGTCCCTGGTCTAAAGGACTATCTCTTGATAAAAGTAGCAGTCATAATTGTTTTTAACGCGCCTTTGACAATAATCAGATGCCTACAGCTATACCGGAATAGCAACCTTTCCTGTTTTTTCATGTTATGTTTAAAAATGACGTGCATGCATGGTTGATTTTCAGCAATCTTTCAGTAACCGCTTCCATTATGTCTTTCCAGTCAATCCCTTTTTTCGTCAAGCTTCAAACACTGCTAGCAAACTTAGCAAAAACACCGACGTAAAATATGATTATGAAGCCAATTTTTAACCTCCTACTGCAATTCATATTGCCTCTATCAGATTTCCGTGCGATAAGTTCGTCACTAAGGTTACCTAACTGCCTTCCCACTGCTTTAGTTTGCATGGTGTTACAATACGCCACCCTGCCGCAGACGTCATCTGGCTTCCAAGCCGTAGATTCTTGTGGAGGTACAGATCTTGCAGTTCTTGACATAGCAGAAAATGCAAACTCTACTTCGCAAGTGAATTCTGTAGAGGAATTCATTATTATATCTCCCATCCCAGCATTGATGTATACTGAGCTGAATTTCGGAAACGGTCTTCCTGTAAGACTTGTCTCGTTCTAATTCTGTGAGCCGGCAATCGTGCTTCTGAAAAACCTGTTCAGTCTTTTATTGAACAGCATGAGCCTCCAAGCTCGTTGCTATATCAATTTTGTCTTATTGCAGCAAACAGTAGCGGTGAATAATGCAAATCGATACAAAGCAAAAACACAACAGCGTTTTTACTGCGATCATTCACATAGGCTGAAGAAAGAGAGAGACTGCTCGCAGTCTATCATTCACCTGACCATTTTGTCCTCCATGAAGCACGCCGCCGGCATATGTCATGAGGCACACGGGGTTGCAGCTCATAAAGCTGCCACTGATATACAAAAACACTTTGTGCAATAAGCGGCAAAGTACAGGCAGAATTTATATGATTTAAAAACGTAAAAATGCTGGTAGAATGATGGGGGGTTGCTATTAGCAAACTAACCCCTGCAAAGAATCCGGGATTCGCCTACAGAGCTAATTTGCCAGCAGGAGTCAGCTGAGACCAAATTTGCACCTGTTTCAATCTTTTTCGGAGTCTTTAGAGATGCCCAGCCACTAATCTTTTTGTTTCGTTTAATTTCATAACGAAATCTGAACTCAGATTTTTTCTGTCATGTGCTTTTACTAAATATTATACTATTTTTGTTCCTTACTATTGCGTCCATCTACTGCTTTTATGTATGACCTCCACTTAAAATTACCCTCTTTAACAATGCTAAAAAAGAGCGTCTGCAGCCCGCCAACGGGCAAAGGCCCTATGGACGAGAAATGTTTTAGTATGTTTCATTAAGGTAAACTGGCTGGCGGTACGCTAAGAAACATTTCGCTTTTATATTTTCTAGATTTGTAGCCTGCGAAAGCATCCGTTTCTCCTCGCTCTTCGCCGCTGGGGACGTTCCTCCTCGCGAAACGTCCCCAGCGCCGGAGAGCGAGGAGAAACGGATGCTTTCGCAGCCTACTAGATTTGGCGATTGTGGATTAAAGTAAATCAACCAAAATTGGAAAGCAAAATAACAAACAACCAACTTGCCAACTTGTGGCAAAACAACTGACTAAAGTAATTAAAACGGAGTTTCCGGCAAAAAAAGCATTTTCCTTTGTTTAGGAGCGGAATCTTGTGATCGCAGTTTGCGTGCCATATGGTAACTTATGCCTAGACAGGGGGTTTTAACGGTAACTCACACGAGCACTCTGCATTGCAGTGCCGACGATTACGACATGAGCCTGTGTTTTTCAACGTCGCTATTAAATATTATATACCAAACCTCGATCATCGACTCCTCAGAGTTACAGAGACACTCATTGGAGAGCATGTACCGCATACAACTACAAGAAAAACTGCAAGAAAAATAAAATTCCTTAGCCTTAACTTTGCAACAAAGCTTCAAGTTACGTTGTCGACCCATGTTACCGGCTTTTACGAGCGCGACTTACTAAATTTCTTTTTTGACAGAGTATCTAATATAAAATACTCGGTAGAAGCGGTCTATTTAAACAGCGTGGGCGAACTGAACAAAAAAAAAAATCAGAAAAAAGCTAAGTTATGTTTAGTAGGATACGATCGTTCTTAAACATAGTCGAGCCCTCGAGCACTCTGGAAATAATGGCCGCTTCGCCTTGAAAACAAGAAAGAGGCCATGATTTGAGTGCTTTTTTCGCACATTTTCAAACTGGCGGGGGTTCTTATCTGATTAACTGTGATTAAGAGTTCGAGAACCACTCTAGTTTTAGTTTATTTTATAAATAAGGTTTCGCATTCAGTATATTTAGCTTCCATGCACACACAACCTGATCGTCGTTGATTAACTTAGCTTAAATAGGAGTTTTGGTGGAAAGCTTTTCAGTCACTGAGGAATCCTACCCCAAACTGTGTTAACAAGGATTTACAAACAAAAAAGTCAGTCAGTATTTGAGCAGACGTTTCGTCATTTCCACCGTGGATCATTCCACGTTGACGCTTGCCAGTTAGATAGACTAGTATGACGGCCACAACAGCAACCACCGACTAAGCTACTAGTTCCCTCTTAAAGTTCTTCATACGTAAGTAACAGGACTGAGATGTAAGAGGCTGATGAGTGTTTGACTTTTAGTTTTTACTTGCAATTTCTGGTCAATCCGGTCGCGGTTTGGTCAATAGAAACACTAGTCTCACGCGCAGTCGTATTCAAGTTCCTGATGATACAAAAACGGTAGCCTGCGTGGATCTGTGTGGGAGGCATTTGAAAGTAATGGGGAAGGGGATTCCGGGCGCGCGAGAAGCGCACAAAAACGGCTTCAGACCATTGAAGGACAAGATAGATTGGAAAAAATATACTAGGCGAAAAAAGTCATTTTCCGCTGGATGGTGTATCTGAGACCTGATCTATCAACAATAACCGAACAAGAAATTTGTTCACAAGGGATTTAACCAATTCAACGACCTGCTCCCAGTTGGCTTGTTGGATGGTAAGAGCGCTGCACCGGTATCGCAGAGGTCAAGCCGTTCGAATCCCGTACAAGCCTGAATTTTTTTCAGGCTTTCTTTTCGCAACTGCAAAAGTTGCGTCTGTAACTGTAACTGCGATGACCTACTTTCATATATAATATCCTGTTAGTTACTACACGTTTTTAAAGTTTACTAAAAATGAAAAAAACGAAAAGATAGTTGTGTTATTAAACGACTGACTTATACATCTTTGCGCCTGATTTTGCCCTTTTTTTTTTTTTTTTTTTTTTCTTACTGGCAAATGAAATCCCAGCAATCAAAACAAAAACATGTACAGTAACTTTGTTTGACCGTGGTGGAGAAAAAGGGGATATCCTAATCGGGCACGTAAAAAGCGCAACTCTAAGGTGAGGTGGGAGTGGGTGGGGGGGGGGGGCTAGGGGGGTGGGCTAGGGTTGTGGTCTAGCGCCCAAATTCTCTTCCCTTTCCCTTTCGAACACCTAGTTTATTGAAGAAAGCCAAGAAATGGAACACGAATTTCCTTTTGGAATGTTCTGCCCAGAAAAAACGGGACTACTTTTTCTGATGTTCCGTTGCTCCCGGAAATTTTCCGATAGTCGTGTTTTCTTTCTAACCGGATTTTCCGAAACTTTTTGTGGCAAAAACTGATTGGTTCTGATTGGTACTTTAAATACAACGGTAGATGCTTCATATATGATAATAACCATCTCCCCAGGTCTTCTCGGTCAGAGGACTAGAAAGAAACGATATCGAGGCAAATGTGATCCTCTTGCTTCCAACATGGCGCACGCAAAGGACACGTGTCGCCCTTTCGGGTTTTTAGTGTCTCTTTTGGCTGTTTTTCTCGTTTGCTTCCACTTAACCGAAGCGGGAGGAAAAACGCTTGTCCTTTTGGATAATTCCAACACAAGGGAGACTCATTCTATCTTTTTTAACTCTCTGAAAGGTAAGAACGAAGTCTGGGAAAAGCAAGCCACTAGAGAACAAAAGACTGCTCCTCATCATATTAGTTGAGATCAGTTGATTTCCTTTCACCTTGTGCAACATGTTTTTTAATCTATGTAATGCGTCTTTTTTGTTCCCGTATAAGAACATACGTGTATTTTTAGATCTATAATAGTGTATCCGAGGATACCAGTGTCTCAATTTCATAATGGTAACAGGACTTAGTGGAGTCCAATTCGGTCTGTAATCATACAAGCAATTAACAAAATCGGACGACTTTGTAGCGGGAGTCCGATTTGCTTAATCTGTCCCATTAGTGTTGAATTTAGGACAGTTGATAGCCAATTAGATTTTGTTTTATGATTAAAGGGGTTATGTCACCCCACACGCATGCGTGAGCCAATGAAAACAAACTTGAAAAAGTCGGCCCGACTTTTTCAAGTTGTGTCGGAGATTTTGGAAGGCTGTTTTTATCTGTCTAAATCTCAGCCATCGTTCGATAATTAGCAAAATTTTGTATTAATAATCGTTCTATGGTGATTACAGAATAATTTTTTGGCGTTTATTTTGAAATTGTTTGCCTGTGGAATGTTTTTACGTGGATTTACTGTGCCCTCTTATCAGCGGCCGTTGTAATGGCAGAGTTAATGGCGGCTACTCCACAATGAGTGATGGAATCTTTGATGGAATCTTCCCTATAGTTCACAGAACCTTTCTATTGAGTTATTTTAGAGGCTGCTGGCTCTTGGATTTTTCTTCTGCTCAAAGTATGTGGACATATAATGAAGCGGCTATCGAGTTGGCGGCGGCCGTTTTTTGTAAACGATTACAAGAGCACTAGGCCATGAGTTTCGTGACGAAACTAAACTCCTGGCAAAGGAAACAATATAAAATTCGGCTAGATTCCTTCTTGTATTTATCTGGATTCACGGCAAAGATAAACACGACCGTTTGCTCGTCCAGATTGTTCTCAGGGGACTTAGAGAGGCACCTTAGTACGAGTTAGATCCTGTAAATGCCATGTTTTTGAACTGTTTGTGTTAGAGCATATTTTTGGAAAATAGCAGAGTTTACTTTCCCTTTTTATCAACGGACTGCATATAGTGGAGTAGTATACCAATGATGCTTGGTTCTGTTTTTCTCGACGTCGCAGTGATTCGGCACGATCGAACAATTTTGCGCGATAATATATGTTTCCCTAAGATCAAAACAAAGACTTGATGTCTCTTGTTCTATCAGCATCTAAATTATAAAATCACTAGCGACAGACAAGTGTAATTGTTAATGATTTGAAACAGTCTTGGTCTTTATCTTCGGTCTAGCGTCTTTTGTAGCTCATTTGTAAAATACAACTTCGATTTATTTTTTTGAATAAGACAATATGTTGTTGTTGAATTTTTGTTTGCGCTCTATTTTATGAATGGCATGCATTTTTACTTCAAAACTACAAGTAAAATTGTCGTCACAATTTTATTCTTGATGTAGCATAACCAGAAAAGAAACATTTCGTAAATTCTATCGAAATATCCCTTATCTAAACCCATTTCGCTTGTTAACCTCTCTAAATTTGGAGCCTTGGACGTGACAGAGAACAAGGAGAAAGTCACGCGTTAAAAACAATAGAGTTTTGACAGTTGAAAGTAATTTGCATAACCTCAGAGCACACATGGAGAAAGTCACGCGTTAGAAACAATAGAATTTTGACAGTTGAAAGTAATTTGCATAACCTCAGAGCGCATGCTCTCCAGCTGACATAGCCCCTTTAATAATGGAGTTAGTGGAGTCCAATTTGGTCTGTAATCATATAAGTCATTAACAAAACTGGATGACTGCATAGGAGGAGTCCAATTTGTTTAATCACTCGTATGATTATAGACCTAATTGGACATTGTGTGACCAATGAATGATTTTCGGAGACCCTCGTTATGCGCACAGGATTCTGGGATCACCAGGGGGCAAACATTGCGAGTCACTACAAAGAAATGTATGGCATAATGTAGTTTCTCCTTCAAAAGTAGTGCCTTTGGACATAGAATAATGCATTTTCCTTGTGATTTTGTCAGAAGTGGAGGTGACTAATATTGGTGCAATAAAGTCTATCGATAAACTCATAAACTTTATGTTTACTGAATTTACGCAGTGATTTACATGAAGAAAAGGTCTGAATATATATAGTGCAAATTGAATGAAGTAACAAAGTGATGTTCTCATGGACTATAAGAGTGCTCATATTGTTGAACTAGAGCAGAATACAAGTAGACTGATGGAACTGGATTAAATCTTGAACATTTATTGCTACTCAGAGTTTCATGCCTCTTGTGTTTTTAGTGACGAGAAATTAGCACACTAACGTTGGAAAGATGATTTAGTTTTTTGAATGTTATAAATCGATGCATACCTTCGATCGTTTCAATCGTTGTCACGACTGGCACAGCATTGTAATTGCAGCCAAACTGAGTGTAGTTACACCAGGGCTCTACATTAACAGCTGCCCGCTTGCATGGGGCCACTAAAAATTTTATCCGGGCAACAAAGTCTTCACTGAAATTTCTGTGAAAGTTGTAGGTTAACATGACTCAGTATTTTTGTATCAAGTCTATCTTTTGATCTATCAAAACTGTTTTATATTTGTGAAGGTTTGTATTTTTGTGGGTTGTACGCGACTGCGTGAATTAAAAACAGATTGAAATATGATCTTAAATAGCCGCTACAAATCATTTTCAAAAACTGGAATGTTTTTGCGAGCCTTTGATAAATGTTACCACAAAACGTACAGCAAAAAATAGGTGTAGATAATGCTGAATAAACGAGTGTATCGTTCTTGTTTGTACCAAGATAGAAAACATTACAAACTTGCAAAAGTAATGTCACGTGTAATCATGCAATAGCGACCTAACATTTCTAATGCTGGGAGAAACATTGTGAGTTTAATATCAAAGGTTTTCCGAAGACTATTAAATTCATTAAATGCCATTTTCAGATGAGAATCTTCAACTGCATTGCAGTGGAAGTCACAGAAGCGAATTTTAAGACAAGTGCTTGCTTTTTTACCTTTTGTCAGCGAAATAATATTTTGCCTACAGCCAATGACTAAACGTTTCCCGTTTTTGTTGCAAAAGTGCCGAGCGAGCAGGGAATTTTGTTGTTTGTTCACCAAAAGTTAGCCTGAAAATCATAAGTTTTAGGCATCTGCTGGGGTTCCCCGTTTAAAATGTTGGTCGTCTTAGGGTAAATCAGTGCTTCTGGTGACCAGGCACCCGTTAGGCAGCAACCTTGTGAGCTCAAACCTATTTCAATTTGGCTCATAAAGGTGAACAAATTTTTGTTTACAATATTATCCTCATTTATCCCCTGATAACTTTGAACATGAATATTAAGGAAAGTTAATAAAAAGGTACCTGTCTTGCAGATATAACTTTAGTTAATTTTTTTGTAGCGAATGTTTTGGGAAACTAATATTTTTCTTCAGGCAACTAGATTGTGCGGCTTTGTTGCCTGAAGGGCAACCAACTCAAAAAGTTATTATCAACCCGTGGTTACACTCGTAAATATGAGCACATGTAACTACAGCTGGAAAGGCTTAAATGAGTCATTCTCTGCTGATTTATACCTAAGTTAGTACTAAACCGGTATATTTTGAGACCATTCAGTAAATTTCACAGTCAACCTTATGCAAAATAGACTGTTAATCAATAGAATTTATTGCATTGATCACCTAGAACTTGCAACTTCAACGCATCAACATTAGTCACCTCCGCTTCTTACAAAATAACAGCAAAAATGTGGCATTCTTTGTCCAAAGACACTGCTTTTAACTGAGAAACAACTACAGTCGAACCCCGCTATTTCGAAGTCCCAAGGGAAATGGAAAATAGTTCGAAATAGCGGGGCTTCGAAATAACCGGGGAAGCGTAAAGGGGAAGGGTAAATCCAAGGGCATTCGATCTTCCTTCGAAATAGCGGGGACTTCGAATTAACCGAGTTTGAAATAGCGAGGTTTGACTGTACATGCTACACATTTCTTTGTAGCGACTTATAATGTTTGCCACCATTCATTAATCATAACTATATCAAAATTTGTGAGATTTGATCCTTTTTTGAGCATGCCCAGTAATGTGTCAGGTAGATGGGTATGGGTGTGAAAAAATGGACAACAATGTTTGCATCCTTTTACCATTTTAAGGTGGCTGAACACAGTTTTGCGGGCGGTGAGCGGTACCTTGTGTGACGGCGCATTTTAAATTAGACAAATAAACATGGCAGCAAAAAAACAATGGTACACATCTACTCATTAAAATTTTGTGATATTTGGCAGAATTTTAACTTTTATCGTATTTTATATAATGAGAACTTCAAAATGGAAGTTGAGCAGACGATTTGTGTGACACATTTAATAATTACAATACAATATTATTATATCATTGATTATCTAAAACCCCGTCTGTTAAAATTTGGTCAAATAAGTTTCAAATGGTGATGATTGATTATAGTAAGCTGTGTGCAAGTTCATAGGAAAATCAAATGAGCAAATTTTATGTAAACTGAGCAAAAGTGAAATTTTAAGGTTGTATTCAATCGTTCATGTTGCTATGGAAACTATGAAAACATTAAATTTTACCTGTCAATCAAAATCTTTTATCAGTATCTTTTTCACTTGCCAAGTTTCAGCTTGTAAGCTGCAATCTTTCTCTTCCCATGATTTGGCAAATGACATATACTCACAAACTGTTAAAACTGTGTTTAGCCACATTAAAGGTAGGTCATTTCAATCCTTTGCGATCTATGCGTTAGTCTGTTTACAGAACCCAACAGCTCAAGAGAGTTTGCTCTCAATCAATATAAGTTATTCTCAAACCACAATTTGAAAATGAAAACATCACAAACTTATCCAGTTGAACCTCTTGTAAGCGATCACCCAAAATGTGAACACAAATCAAATCCTTTATCTCCTAGCCCTAATTATTCATGAATTAAGGCTAGGAGACAAAGGAAATTAAGAATCAACCTTGGTTAAAAAATTTTGACCTAAGCATAAACGTCAGAAACAAGGGGTAACGGACTGAAATATTTGGTAAACAAATTCAAACTCCTTGACACCCACTTTTCATGCCCATATTAGATACATATCTGTGCATACCTATGGATTTTCCACAGGATAAAAAATGTATTGAAAATCAGGACTAGACCTCCAGGCTGGTTTGCCTATGAGCTACTGGCCCCTGGGCCACCAGGGGCCTGCGGACCTGCTTTTAGAAAAACCCTATTTTGTTATTGTAATAACTGTTTTGAGTGGTTGAAAAGTTTTTGATGCAAACCGGAATGTTATTTACAATATATGTAATGATTGCATGGGAATAGCAGTTTGCAATAAAGCTGTAATCTTTGCCAAAATGAGTGCTACACTGTAAGTGTAACAGAACTTGTGTATTGAACTACTTCTTGTTTTCTAGAAAGAGGATTTGATCTAGTTTTCCGTGCTGCTGATGATTCAAGCCTAACACTTGTCAAATATGGAGAATTCCTGTATCAGCATCTAATCATCTTCTCCCCATCTGTGGAAGGTAACCTCTAGTCAAAATGTTTTGCATTGGATGCCTCATAAAATATTGAAGCCACCTGTTCTGTCCTGGTAAAATCTCCTTATACGGGGTGGAGTTTGCTTCATACCCTTCAACACCTACAGGAGGAAAGCTTTTCAGTGCTACATACTTCGAGAGGATGATTCTTTAGCCTGTTTTACAAGGTTTTAACATAATGACATGGGTGTTGTCAACAGGATTTGTAGGGAATAAAGAAAGAGCACTGGATTGCTTGTAATGAATTTAGTTCATGTTGTTGAACATATCCTATTGCTATAATTATATGCTGTTCTTGTAAAATAATAATTACGGTATCATTGTCCTCAAAAGAATAGATATTAATCTTGTGTATTACCTATGTAAGTCAGTTTACATACTATGATTTGTCAGTCTGAAAAGATACACAGTGTATGGCAAAAACAAAATTTCAATGTACACAAGATTGGCCTGATAAGTCATAGTTTGTAAATTGGGAGCTGGCAAATTGGCCAACAATAATGGTTGAAGTAATTCTGGCATTTACAATATAAATTCACTCTTGATAAACAATAATAGATTGAAGGCTTGTTTGATGAGAATTGTTGTTGTTTTGTTACATCTTTTTTTAATTTCAGAATTTGGTGGATCTCTTAATGTAAGAGCCATAACAGACTTTATTGATGGAGGAGGGAATGTACTAGTTGCTACCAGCTCTGCCATTGGTTAGTTAACCTCTTTCTTTAGTAGCTAATCAAAGTCTTCATTTTGCAAAAATGAAGCTTAACCAGTTTAGCTGCTGAACACATGAGGGAAGGTAGTCTTTCCTTAATCATAACTGTTGATGTTTATCAGGTGACCCTATCAGAGAACTGGGAAGTGAGTGCGGTGTGGAATTTGATGAAGAGAAGACCTCTGTAATTGATCACATCAACCACGATGTCTCTGATTTGGACCAGGTAAAACAATAATATTATAAATAACTTGAACATACCACAATATTAGCAGCTGTGATTTAAACAAAATTGGTCGTGATCTTTATATAATCTTGCTAATATCTTGTAAGACAATGGGGAATATAGCTGATTCATTAAAGGTTGCTTTTAGCATTGGGCATTTGGGCATGCAGAACAATACAATGATTTGCCTGACTGACCACCAAACAACAGCTTCCTAGTGCCCAATTCCCGATGTCAAAAGCAACTTTTATCGAATCAGCTATATAACAAGGAAAAGCCTTTTGCCATTAAAATAGGCAAAGGTTCCTTTAGTTCTGTTTTTTTGGACAAAAGACTGTCAATGTGAAGATTTGTTTAGTGTTACTACAGTAGTAATCAGGTGCACAAAACTATATTATGCCGATTTATGACTTTAGGGTTTTTTTGAGGCCTGTAATAAAAATGGCAACACTTTATTGATTCCTGCAAAGATTGTTTGAATGTTTATTTGCAGCACACACTGATAGTTGCTGACCCTTCAAATGTCATTAAAGCAAACAAAATAACGGGACCTCAGTTTACAAACCCTTTGCTGTTTCAAGGAGTTGGGTGAGTTTAATTCACTTACTGGCAAATTTTTGTGTTAATCTTTGGTCACTCAGTTTATGGAACTTTACGCATACATCAGAATTGTAAAAGTGGGAGTTTATTATGAGAGATCATCCCCTCTCAACTAAGTTATTGTTATTGTTTTTTTAAAGTCGTACAATAATAATTATTGTATTGTATTATTTTTTGTCAAGGTAGATACTTGTTAACTTGAAATAACTTTTGAAACATGTTTAATTTAATTTTAAATTTATTCTATGCAAATAGTAATAAGAAAATAAATTTATAAATAAAAACAATTTTTAGACAGTGATAAAAAATGCTTTGTTTTTAGTGCAAGGGCACCTAGCTGTTCAAGCCAGTTTACAGGCACTTAAGCTTCACACATCAAGTAACCACAAACAATTAATAGAACAAATAGTTGTAATTTAGCATAACGTGGTAAAAAATCACAGGCAGCAGGCAAACCAGCTGGCTTACTGTAACTACAAGTTATGCATGGCTGAGGAGTTGAACTTGAGACAACCAAGAAACAAATCCAGCTAACAAGAAAGAGATTTGACCTCTGATATTGTACTGACCACTTAGCCATGCTCCCTCCCTTATCCTCTTTTAGAGTAGAACCATCAGGACAATGCTTTATAATATACATACTGAGATATACTCGATGAAAGGCTGTGTTGTATAATTTTCATACGCAAGTGAGCTCTAACCAATCAGAGGAGCGAACAATGTTTATCACATGTGAAAAAAGTGATACATCCAATCAGAATTACGAATGATGTTTTTTCACATGTTAAAAAATGATACATCCAATCAAAAGCTAAAGAGGTGTGTGAGTTTCGTACCAAAATTCTCACCTTTTGTCGGTGTTAGCAGCTTGCAGTGCCCTTGCATTTTCAATTGCTTTGCAGACATTAATTTTAGCGAGAAAAGACCACGATGCAGAGCTTCTCTCTTAGGCCCGGTTCAGACGCCAAACTTTTCATGGGCTGAACCTAATACATTGAATTAAGTACAGATGAAAAGTTCGGCGTCCAAAACAATTAGGAATGCATATTTCAATTTGGCTTTCCCTTAGCATGGCCAGGAATTTAGACTGTGGAAACGACTTTGATTGAGACGTCAAACTTTTCATGTGCCTGTTAACCTAGTACATAAATCATAGTAACATATTTTGCGATCAGTTTGATCAAAGTGAGCATTTTTCTTCTTTTGAATCTAGTTCAGCTTGAATTAAGATCAGCGTCTGAATCAATTCAGCCGGTCAAATTTAGGTGATAATTTAGGTGGCCCTAATTCAAATTAGGTCCAGCTCAGTTTGGCGTCTGAACCGGGCCTTCTAAAAAAGTGAAAAACATCTCAGAAACTGGAGTGAAATAATTGCGTATATTTCATTGTGGATGAAGAAAATTGTGGAGAGCCATCAAATCAACAGTGGAAGGGGAAAAACAGGATGAAAAGTAAGCTAATTTTAACCCATTCGCTC